TGCTTGGTGCAACTTCCATCACCAGATTCTTCTCTCGGTGCTTACCCTTGTCTTCTAGGGGAGGTCTTTGGCTGTCTGCTATGAGACGTCTGTGCTAGGGAGCCATGTACTACCTTGATGTCCTTCACAGTTCTGAGGGATGATCCTTTCACGAGCACATGGTGGATGTCCGTTTGTCGCCCTCCACTGCTGTGGGTACCTTCTGAGTCTCCATTTTTGCAGAGAACGTACGGAAAGTTGCCAGGTCGTGAGCCGTAGCCAGGCCCAGGACCTTCTCTCCCTGAGCGCTCCTCGGTCCCACCCCTCTATTTTCTATCACTGCCGGCGTGGTCATTAAGATGAACTGGTGAGGTTGTGCCTTCTAAGATCGATCTTTTTGCATCGTCACGGCTGAACTCGTCCTTGTCACTTTTATGGCATCTGGCTCGCGGTGCGTACACGGGGAGGATGGTCCAGTACCCTCCCTCGTGTCTACCCTTACAGCCATTATGCTATCGCTGGTCCAGCCATGAACATGATCCTCGAGCGACTCCGTCACGCCGTTCTGCTCGGTGTTTCCTCAATTGTAGTAGAGTTTGACACAGTCCCCGATTTTTCTGCTTAGCACTTTCCATCGTGTCTCCTAGGCATTGAACTTGAATGCTTCTGCGCGTCATCAAATCAGCAACCTCCTGGGACTTCTCAGTCAATGATCTTACGTTCAGATCCCAATTTGAACTAGCTTCTTTGGCCGGGGTCCTTCACTCTTCGGTATTCCTCGCATACTGACCACAGAACTCGGGTGGAGTTCTGCGCGCCACTTCCGAGTGACGTCCTAGCTTAATCACTCTTTGACAACTTTGAGGCGTGATCGGTGTGACTGGGGTCTTCATCAGCCGCCCTGTCATCCTAGGTCTAACGCTGGTACTGTACCATTTTTGCAATTTCCGCAGGGCACAGTTTTGAGTCTCGGCGGGATAGAACTCACAGTTTCTCACAGTTGCAGACATAAGTCTACACTTTTAATTACTCGGCCATCCCAGCCTCTCTTTCGTCAAGATACTGCACGCGATTATAACACTGAGCTCTCACCGAAATGTCTGCTTCGTTCTATTACCACTGAAATTCTTGGCCTTTATGGAATGTTGAATTTTTTTTATATCCTCCTTTTGCAGGTCTATCCAAAGAGGGTGTTACGCTGGATCAGATAAACACGGTCGTTATTACGCATGGTCATCCTGGATACATGGGCAACATGAACTTCTTTGCGCAGAAAGCAATTCTGTTCCATTCTATGGAGTACATTGGACGCCACGTCACACCAACAGAACTCAAAGAAGTAAGAGTTGCTTTTGTAAAAAAAAATTCCTCTAATTCAGAAATAACAATGACAGGTGAAAATCAGAGGAAGGCAGCTGCATTTCCTTTAACTCATGCATTTCTTGAAGATCATAGAGTCGGAAGTTATTGATGAGAGCGGGTTCATAGAGGAATTCTGGGATAAGATCATAATTCCGTAGTGACGCAACATCCAGTAGGATTTTGTTGTCCAAGATAACCTTAGCTTTGATTAGGCTAACTTTTCGAACTGTTCGCCTTAGCCGGAACCTCAGAAAACTCAGAAGCAATCTAGACCGATCCTTTCATGGCTAAACAATTCTGAAAACACTTTCTCCAGGATAGTAAAGCAACAGCGGTATCAATTGGCTCAAGAGTGCTTTACGTGCTACTCAGATCATTGTCGCCAAAGCTAAGGTTTAGAGCATTTGTACTTCATTCTCAACCTTATCATGGACTATCCTCAAAGCGGATTGATCGCTGCCAAAAAAAGTCACTCCTTTACATATCATTCAGTAGTTTCAGTTCCATTTTTCTCTCTAATTGATGAAAGTCTTCAAGGCAATTGAGGTTGAGCCAAAAATGCTAAGTTGTTCATTGGAACAACATAAAGCTAAAAGTTGGTTTAAATGAAATTCCTCGTGATTTCATAGCAAATGATGCGCTTACAAGCTACTCGCCTGTGACTTAGTGTTCCTGACCGGCTTCGAAATTGACATGAGATTCTCAAAGCGACGTGCATCCGATCGTAACTTTACATACATATTCCTGTACCAGTCTAGCTACGCATGCTACCGGCCGCATGGCAGCGAGGGCTTTGGTGAAACTGCACAGCCGGCGGAGCGTTAGATCCCACTAATAAGAAGTGAGCTGCTTCGTAAAATGCGTTAGCTGGGCGTCCGCTTGATACGCGTGGTGGAGCACTGACCAGGGAAGAATGGTGAATCGAAGTGGCCATATGAAATAAGATGTACAAACCCTGGCGTAGTCTGAGACGCTGATTTCAAATCTGTCTTCAAAATCTGCTGAACGACTCCCTGAAAGAAATTACGGGGGGTGTTTAGAGGGACCGTGACTGAGCTACTCGGATCATAGCTGCGATCGGCCAAGTGTGGTGGGCGTCGATGGCTCAACAGGTATGTGGTCTGCTTCATGTTATCACGGTGGAGGGCTCGGATCCTTGGGCTGACGAGACTTTTGCATTTCATGGGTAATATCCTTTGCACATCTACAACCAGTTTCGCACAAGTATCCTGCTCTGTATACCTGGAAGTTTGTGTTTGCGAATGCGTGTCGCCTTTTCGAAGGATTCAGCCACGAATTTCTCTGGTTTCTTTTATCCTTTTACCAATTTTGCAGATGTTTATCTTATGTCCTTGTTTATCCTTGCAAATTTACGATCAAATGACAGACAAATATTATACCATTCAGTTAGTTTGAATGACGCGATTCAACCCGAGCGCACAAGAACTTATGTGCAAAGTGGAGTTTTACTGGGAAGGCTCTGCCTTTGACGTGGCAGTCCTGGTAGAACCCAGAGGGCAGACAATCATTTATCACTTCGGAACTGTTGAATGATGTTCTGCCCAAAGGTGGTAGATGAACACCCCGGTGAATTTGAAACTCCCCTCCAGTTTGCTTTTCCATCCGATTCGATAGTCAAATGTGACTTCATAGGTTGTGATGATCTTCATTTCATTCGCTGTTCGCATTGCGAGAAACTCTTGTGCTTTAACCATTTTGTAATAGACTATCACATTTGTATTGAGCGTTGACTTTAATAAAGTCTATAAAAAATAAAATAGGAGTCGAGAAAAATTCGTGGCTGAATCCTTCGAAAAGGCGACACGCATTCGCAAACACAAACTTCCAGGTATATAGAGCAGGATACTTGTGCAAAACTGGTTGTAGATGTGCAAAGGATATTTCCCGTGAAATGCAAAGGTTTCGTCAGTGCAAGGAACCGAACCCTCCACCTTGATAACATGAAGCAGACCACATACCTGTTGAGTCATCGACGCACACCACACATAGCCGATCGCACCTGTTATCCGCATAGCTCAGCCACGGTCCCTCTAAACACCCCTCGTAATTTCTTTCAGAGAGTCGTTCAGCAGATTTGGAAGACAGATTTGAAATCAGCGTCTCAGACTACACCAGGGTTTGTACACCTTTTCAAATGGCCACTTCGATTCACCATCCTTCCCTGGTGAGCTAAGCCAAGTCTGTGAACAACCACCATGCATCGAATGTCAGAATAGTTTGGCGGTCGAATAATATTTTATGCAAATGCAAAGATGTTGGAATGGAAATACTCAGCACTCTTTGTCATGTTTTTTCAAACATCCACTGTACTTTTTTAGCGCCGCTGGGGAATGTGGCGCCTAAGGATATTTTGGGCTGAGGATAACAACGCAGATAAAATGACATTGAAATGAAATGCGTTCTTAAATCTGATTTTGAGTGACCTCTATGATCTTACGCATATGGCTGTTATCAGTCCTCATCCGCGGGTATCACTTCCTGTCCTCCACCAAGTATGTTTCGTTCCACCCTCCACATCACTCGCCGAAACTAACGCCCCACCGCTGCTGGAACGCACGCTATAAACTTTGTGTTGTGTTCTAGCGTCTCTTATCAACTCTTGTCAGCCGTTATGAATTTCTGATCCCCAAATATGTTCCCGTCCCACCCCCTACATCACGCCTAAAACACAGCTTTCTACCATTGCAGCGGAGCGCGCTAAGAATTTCGTGACAGACGGACGCACGCATACACAACACAGAACACACACAGACTTAGCGGGTTACATATAGTAGGATGTACATGGAAGCTCCATACTAACACAGATATTTGAACGATATATGTCAAATAAGAGTAGGACTGCCATATACCATAAGATTGCGGAGAAGTCCTGCTCAGCTCAGTAGCACAGCTTGAACCTATCACAATTCAAATATTATTTTTGATCGGTTCTTCTTTGCTCCACCCTCAAGCCGTCACGATCCCTACCATTGAAGTTCCTTCGGCTGTCGTTTACCGAGCCGGGTAACGCATAAGTGGTGAAACTCCAGTTCGGGGGGGGGGGGCGCTCCATTGCTATCTTATCCGTGGTACTAGAGCGCAGTTCTTTGGGCTATCGAACACTACGGGTAAGATAATAAGTGAACGACTCATTTCGAGCGTACTTTCGATAAGGACCGGTGGATGTCCTACACACACTACCTGGCCACATCCCAACCACTTTTCTGCACAGGTGATCCACCCTGGAGCTCCTGCACCCTTAGCTCTTTGTGGAAGTGTCCCTTCTCCTGGTCCAGGACCGTTCCCTTGGGTTATGGCAGGCGGAAATGTGAAAGCGTTTCAAGGTTTCTCACCCCTTACACGCAAATATTTATCAGAAGTCTACTTTAAATGAGTCGATTACGTGTCGTGAGCCCTCTAATCCTTATCTTGAGTTTTAGAGAAGAAATGGAGTGCCCCCCGCGAACTGGAGTTTCACCGCATAAGTGACCGAATCAGTTGTTAGTGCATGTATTTCTTAAAAGAAAACTGTTTCTCAAATTGTGACACCACTGCCAATAATTTTCTGCCACCGCTCAGTCAAATAATAAACACGGGTTCGGTTTACATCTGATCCCTTCGTGGAAAATGCCCTTGCGAGAATGAATATTTTTCAAAAAATGTTCAGGACTCTTGAGATCACTCAGTTGAAGGTAGGTTTTACATACTGAATGCAACTAATGTTAGGAAAAGACCGGATCTGGCGAGCCACTTACGCTTGAACTCTGATTCCAAGCGACGATTCACTGTTAACACATTGACGACATGCGAGTTTTGGTGTTTTTGGCCATGTGAGACAGACGCATTTTTGTGAGCGCATTTGTCGCGGTATACATATCCCCCGTACTGTCTAACAATGCCCACCATTTCTGGAGGCCCGAACGTATAAACAACTCTAGAGAGCGGTCACTGTGTAAGTTAGGTTACATGAAGAAAGCACAAACAAAGTGGCTCCTCCAGCAGAATTTTAGATTGAATAAACGCCTATTTAGGGTGAAAAAAAGGATCAAATAAATGACATTGTTGAAGAATGTTCATATAAGTTTCTCTACTATAAAAGTTGGAACTTCTACAACATGGCAATTTTATCGTTCTCAACCTTTTTCCAAACATTCAAATACCATTCACAATTTCACTTCCTTCTAGCGATAAGAGTTAGTGTGACTTTAAGCTGGATTGAAAACTTCACGCGTTCAAGGATCACAATGCTTGTAGATACACCAATATCCGATCTATGGAATAGAAACAAAAAGTTCGGAAGAAGCATCTGCGAATAAAAATTACGGAATGGGTGCGGGAGACTGATCCCTCGCATGGTCCGATGTGGCCTGTAAAGCACGGGGTATATGCCCTCCGCGCTGTCGTCAATGTGTTAAAGGAAGCGATCACACTGGCTTCCACGTGGATTTGCCATCCTTGCGTTATCAGCCGATGAGGTGTGAGACAATCAATAGTTGGACGAGTGTAAGCCCTTAGAAGATATGATGCGATGAGCTAAGAAGGTACAGCTGCTTGATGAGAGGTGCGCTCTAGAATGAAAGCGGGACGATAACGATATCATATAAAGTACGCTGTCGCTGCAACCCCTTCCACATCGAAACGGCTCTGTCTTTGCAATCCGGAAATGAATTTCAATCCGCCAATGAAACTTTGCCTGTTGAAACATTTAGCAGGACCCATATCCACTCCATTACGTAGCATTCCTTATTGTCCCATGAGAATTATCGTGACCACTTCCTTCAAATATTCAGAGTTCACATGCACATCTACTTTGACCAGTTCCGTAGCAGAGCATTGAGCGCAATGCAGAGCCACCTAAGGTGGCACACATGCAGATATCTTTAAGTTCATCTCTACCGCTTCTATGAGTAGAGATCGGATATCCCCCAGCGGTTTCTGCAGAATCCGGTTTCAGTGATTCAGAACACGATAGGAGAAAGGATTCGAACTATCACGCCATTAGTATTCTTGTCTAGCTCGGTAAGTAGACGGAAATGATTGCTGCGGAACTGGTCAAAAAACTCTGGAGACGCTTTTAGAAAAAGGGTTCCAAAGCAGCTTGTCGGTGCAACGCAAATGTAGTTTTGAAAAACGACTCCGTTATGTTGACAATCCACTTGATTGCAGTGTTTTATGACAGTGCAGAAAAGAAAAATGCCGTATTGCACACCAACATCAGATGATAGGAACATGAGAAAAATCAAAGAAGTTTCGCAAACGCGGCTGTTTCCCGTAATTTGTACCAATCCTGTGTAAGGGCGCGTACAACTCCGTCAACACTTCGGTTTCTCGATAATCGTCATAGACTATTCTGTGTTCATTGTATCTGAAATTCAATTACTGAACTATACGACGGTAAAAAGCTTAGAACCAGTTTTCTTCATATGTAACACGAATTCGTTTTCCGTTTAGCGTCCGTATCGGAAACTCTCCCCACATATTGAAGTATGGAAAACACCAGGACATACTCAGCACGATCTCACCGTATTGGTTCATGACGTTGCCAGTTACGGTACAATGGCTATCGTTGGTGATCTCATACCGAGCGAGGCACTAGTCAGCGAAAAGGTTGGAGTCTGTTTCGAAATTGAGTCGTCGATCCTCTCGTACAAAATAACAAGAATTAAAGTACTTTTTACAGAGAGATGCACTGGACGTGGAGAGTGTTTGGGATTCGGCCATCAAACGTCAAAATGCAAACCTTATCATTTGCATGGCCGACTGGATTGTACCTGGACATGGGCAACCATTCCGTGTTCTACCGCATTACAGGTAAAAAAATATCCTAGTGCCACATCCAGACGAGAACAAACGGGACCCAAAATTGAGAAAAAGCTTACTCTAAATCATTTCACTGTGATTACAATTTTCCAACATATATGAGAAACATGAACTAAGTTAAAGGCATGCCCCAGGATCGCACTGGTGTGGCTCTTGCACACGAATGTGAATGTATCGGTGCCAAGTGGGCCGGCAGTAAAGAAAAAAGGAAAAGAATCCGTCGAAAACGCTCAGGTTGAGGGCTCACTCACCTTCCTAGTTGGCTGTGCTAAAGGAACGAGAGACTAAGCGCGAAGAGGAGAGTATGGGGCGAGAGAGCGCATCAGATGAGAGAGCACCAGACAACGGCCTGATAAGAGAGTGTTCGCTGCAGCTCGATCACCTTACTTTGCAAGCCCAAAGCGTTCTTGTCGGTCGAATTCCGTGCACGTGAACGCCACATTTGTGAATGTCCCCTAGGGTTCTATACTTCTGACCGAAGAGAAGAGGTTTAAAAAAACCTCTGCCTGGGTTGTTCCCTTAAATGAGCAGAGCAAGCATCAAGAAAGGTGGTGCCAAGGAAAAAGGACTCTGATTCGGTTACAGACCAGGCAAAGGGTAATTGTGAGAAGATCTGTGAGTGAGATCAAGAAGATATACAGGGGGTCCCATAAATACAGCAATACGTTTCTTATCTTGTAACTTCTCTCAAAGTGGACTTATCTTCAAGTGGTCCCACAAAATTCTTAGTCCGTCTTAAAGATCTTGAAAGGAATTACATTTTTTGATAAGTCTCCCTGACGCTGTGAGCATGACTTCCCGTTGCCCGAAGCACAAATCTTGTATTTCCTGCACGGCATCCTGTAGTGCCTTCATGGATACTTTTTGGAGAGAAGGCTTCAGCTCCAATTTGGATGCATTGTTTAGTGCAGGTTCTGTTTCTAATATAGCCCAAATAGGAAGGTCTAGCAGGGTGAGATGGGAAGATGTGAGTGCTATTCTTTTGAGGAAGTGAGATCGGTAACATTATCATGGGAGCAGTCTTGAGAATTTTTCCCTATATTCAAAAGGTGGTTGCCTTCGAAATTTAAGTCATTCCATCTTAGAAAAGCCAGATAACTTATTGTTAGTAACAGATGGTGCACTGAAGCATTCGGTAGCTGAGTCTGTATCAAGTTTTATTCGCTTTTCGATAGGCAGTTAGGGTTAGGCCGGTGATTAGAGATATTTGCCAAATCGTGATAAAGATTGGCTGCCGTTTGAGTCGATACTTCCTTCTCACTCTGCATTGTCTTCCATTGGATCCTCCTGTCAGCATCCACGGAGTTCAAAAGATTGTAGCTCCACTTCATGTGAGGATTTTGTCGTCAATGAAAACGGTGCCGTGCAATAGCCATTTCGGCCGACGGCACCAGCTCTTTGAACTTTTTGTCGCTGCTGTGCTCCTCGCGCAGGATTGAGAAGTGGTTCAGGCGTTCTGGTCTCCTTTCTCGAGCCAACCCGAGTATTGCAGTCGTTTTCTTCTTCAAGCTTTTCCTGAGATCGAGATGTCAGGACCTATGGGCGGTCGCAATTGAGACAATTTTTATTGGTCTCTTCTTCATTTACCAGTAGGCCAAGGAGCGGTTAAAAATTCGAAGAAGTGCGATGTACATCACCGAGATTCCGACTTAGCTGCATGGGGATTAGAATCTCTATTGAGGTTTTTTCAACCATGAGATGTACAACAAAGGGCGTAAGCGTAATTTGTAAGCCGTGAACTTTTTCAAGGTCAATCACAAGAGGTTATTATATGTGAAGGTATGCCAACCTTAGAAGAAAAGCTTTAGACACTCACACAACCGAAGCTCAAAATGTGTTGCAGTATTTATGGAATATCCTGTAGGCATCAGTTGTAAGTGATATATATGTATATATATGCTCGCGAACATCACAGTTGTGACTATGTTGCAGCTAGAAAGTGGGCGGAAATGCGCTGGAGCCTTACAAAGTGAGCTGTTGACGACCTGTGTGAGCTAAAGGACGACGCACATACCATTCACCCCATGAACGCAACGTGGATGATGGGTGATGGAATGCAACGTTGTCATTTCCATTAATTTCTGCACCCACAGCTTCATGATAACCGCTTTGTCCTGCTTAATCCGGATCTGTTGCTCTAAGCCAAAATATTGGTGGGAATGTCTTGGAGATATTCGCTCCGGCACAACTGAGTTATCTCTGGCGGTACTCGTACACTTGTTTGGAAGAGGATATTCTGGAGTATGAAGCTGAGTCCCTCATCTCCGAAACATACCAATTTTTAGACTGGTCCTTTTGAAAATGTTTGACTGAAATGCGCGCCATGCGCTAAAATTAGCCACGAAATTTGAATTCGCTGGTCCAGATTGCAGCACATATTCAATTGTCGCCAGCGACCAGTGCATTAAAGGCAAGAAGCGCTGGAAGGAAAACTGAGACACATGCGCCGTTGTGAGCTAACAAGGCGCTATTAGCTGCAGATCCTAATCATTTCTTCACACTTCACCAGATGCGATAAAATGTTTTTTCTGGATTCACAAATAGTTCCACTCATCGCAGAGGTGCTGAGCAAATGGCAAAACTTATGGACAAGCTGCATGCTGTGTAGGCGATTCTGATTGCAGGAATTTGTGAATGTGAAGAGGCTAATTACACACCGAAAGATTACTGCAGAGTTTCGCAAAGAGTGCAGCGACGCATAGAAAGAAGCACTGCATTGACAGGAAATAACAACGCATGTAAAACGCTTTGAGGATAGAAACATGCCGAATACATACGAAAACATCCTGGCAAAGAATTGATAAGTAAGATCGAGGACTTTTGCCATCTACTCGGAAAAATTCATGTTCAGCTCCATGAGCACGTATGGGCACAAATTACCCGTGTCAGCGCGGGAAACGCAGGCCAATGAAGAGTGGATAGGACTTCCCTTGCTACATATAGAACACGTTAAAGCTACCTCCCCCATCAGGATCATCTGGTGAATGCTGGAGAATAGTTACTCTTGTCGTTTGCCCTACGCTTTTGACGGCTGATATACGTAGGGATACTCATTTCTCACTCTTTGGCGGCTGATCGAACATATACAGCCGGTACGGAAAGTATTGACCTTTTGAAAGAAAGAGTGAGTACACGTGAGGAAGAAAGGTTACCACCATCGCGTTCTGCCACTCTTCGCCAGTTTTCAGGCTAACTTCGGTTGCCTACAACAAGAAACTGTCCTGACTCGAAAATGTTGCTCTACCAGCGATCTATGTCAACTTCACCTTTGAACGTTTTCTTTTGCACCCTGTAGAGAAAGGAAAAGTGGTACGCTGTTGAACCAGTATCCTGGCTGGCTGGATAATTCCGTAGCAGTCTCAGCAAAATGGTCATAACCCTTTAGAGTGTGAACACTTGCCTCCTGTTGAGGCTCCAACTGGTCACCCTTGTCAACTCAGTGTTGGCCGAGCTTGATGTTTATCTACAGATACCACTTCTCATCCTCTGTGGGTTAGCACTTCCTATTCAAAGTCGGGTTGCTTCTGTTGGACCACTATTATCGTGCGTGGACGAGCGTTATCGTGTAGATCAGATCGGATCGTGCCGTGATTACGACG